GTCTACAACAGAACAAACATTGTGTTACCGTGGTCTACAACAGAACAAACATTGTGTTACCGTGGTCTACAACAGAACAAACATTGTGTTACCGTGGTCTACAACACAAAGCCATATCTATGGAGCCACTCATGGTTTCAGGATGACCAGGTCAGGTCAGGGTTAGGCTCACCGTCACAGATCAGAGGCTTCATTTAACAAAAACTAAATTAAATGTGGGTTTAACTTGGACATTTTTTAATAAAATGTTCCCAAAAACTGTTGCAGGACAGAGTCTGTCCTTCAGCAATGGTGTCACCATCATCATCATCATCATCCTCCTCACAGTCACACAGTGAGATCTGCCACGAGCACAGTGAAAGCAGAAAGACAACTGCACTGTCACAATAAGACGACACTGATGGAGATGTAAGTCAGGTGATGGTGGGGGGCTGATTCTGCCTCTACTGACCGTCTTTCAGCTCTCATATTAATCCCAAACAAGTCCAGATGATGGAAACATGTAAGTCAGAACTGGATCCTTCAGCCACGGCATCATCATCATCATCATCATCATCATCATCATCATCATCATCATCATCATCATCACAAGCTTTTATTTTGAAGAATAAATGACGGCCAAGTGTTATTTTCCTTGATCAGAAAGGTTTTTACCAAACATAATGCTGCTTCCTTTATTCTCAGCTTTAAGCTTCATCTAAGAGCTTCATCTGATCATCTTAAACACCATCATCATCATCATCATCATCAGTCCTAATCTGCATCATTAATGTGATGTATCTGTTGTTAGGGTTAGGTTATCAGTTGTGACCAAAGACTAAAACGCACAAACAAAGAAACCTTGGTGAGGCGGCAGTGATGCCATCAGACAGAGACAAGAAACTGAGCAGCAGCGTACCAGTTGTAGGGAAGCTTCCCGTCCCGCTCAAATGAGGCGAAGTTCACAAACGTCTCTGCTCCACATTCCCTGAAGAACAGGAACAAACAGAACATGTGAGAACAACCACAACATGTAAGAACAGAACATGTAAGAACAGAACATGTAAGAACAGAACATGTAAGAACAGATCATGTAAGAACAGATCATGTAAGAAAAGAACATGTAAGAACAGATCATGTAAGAACAGAACATGTAAGAACAGATCATGTAAGAACAGAACATGTAAGAACAGA